GAAAAAAAGATGGGAGATGGGGTGAGTGAAATGGAACCAGCGATGAAAAAAAGAGGTGGTATCTGTCTCCTTGCAGTGTTGGCTTCAAGACAGGAAGTTTGAGGAAAGAACATGTGTGGGCTAAAACAATGCACTGTCTCAGTTGTAAGAAAAAGAGGTTGCAAAAACCTCTTATTTTTTTTGTAAGTATGTTTATAACATACTATCATGCTATTTCTTAGCAGGCTCTTTTGAGCCCACTGGGAGCTGAGTGGTGGTTTTTTATATGCCTCTAGTGCTCCATTTAGATCGGACATCTTTATCCTCTTCAGTTCTGCTGTGTTGCATTTTCAGTATTTCCGAGACTGCAAAGATGCTGGCATGTGTGTTTGTATGAATGAGTAATGGTCTTTTTTTGTTAAGGCAACCTGAAAACTGTGTATTTTCAATACAGCTGGAAGTGTGTTCCAGTCACTGTAAATTGCATTACCTTGTTGTGGGAATTCAAGGACTTCTGTGAAATCTCCACGTGTCCAAATGGTACCAGCTTCTGTAAGCAGCCACAGTTCACAAAGCAGAACTCCTCCAGATTCCTCTGCTAATTCTGTAGAAGAAAAAGAGGAAGCATCGCTTCTGAGTCAGCTGCCTTGCTCGGCAAACATAAACATAATTAGCTTTTTAAGCTCAGAAAATTAAAAGAAACTTGAAGTTAATCTCTCTCTCTCATGTTTCTTATAGTATTTCCTCATCTTTCTGTGGGTTATATTTTATTAAATGTCACAAAACATTTGAAGAGAAAAATTTCCTTTACTTTATATATAAGTATGTATCATCCCTTCTTAAAAAATATCAAGCATATGCAATTAATTAATTAATCAATTTTGTATTGGAAAATAATAACAGACAAGATGGCTATCTGGGGGAGAAAGGGGTTTTCACATAAAGATAAAATATGTAAAGAGATACCAAAAAAAAGGTTGATATTCTTCTCGTTCTCCCTCCCATTCTCAGTTGGGATTTTTATTTCTTGTACAAAGTTAAGATCATATTATATTCACTACTTTTTCCCCTTTTTTCCCAACACTGTAAATATTACTTTTTAAATTTACTTTATTTCACAATATGTTGTGGACACACATCTATAGATACAGCTAACTGGATCTAACACATTCTTTAAAATAGCTGTCTAAGAAGCAGATAACATAGCATAATATACACAGCTTATGCATATTCTTTTCCCGATGGACTTCCAAATTATTTACAGTGCTACAATAGGCCTCCTTGCCAGGGAATTAAAAGAGCACAGTTAAGAATCACACCAGGGTTGGCCCGGTGGCGCACTGGAGAGTGTGCCGCTTGGGAGCGCGGTGGCGCTCCTGCCGAGGGTTCGGATCCCATGTGGAGACCGGTTCCCGCTCACTGGTTGAGCGCGGTGCGGGCGCAACACCGAGGGTTGCAATCCCGTTGCTGGTCCCCAGTGCGGGCGTGACACCGAGAGTTGCGATCCCGTTGCCGGTCAGTAAAAAAGACAAAAAGGAAAAAAAAAAAAAGAATCACACCAGACCTATAGTTACTAGAGAAGGGGAGAAGGAGAGGGGGAGGGGACATAGGGAGTAATTGTGTAAGGGACCCAAAAAGTAAATATGATTTGTAATGATGAACATGCTAACAATATTGATCATCACATACTGTACACAAATACTGATAGTCAACTCTGTACCCTATAAATATGTATAAATAAAAATAGTAAATAAAAAGAATCACCCTGTGGATTCAAATGCTCCTGCCATCAATCTCTAAACCACCGACACATTTGGTCAGGAAATAAGATGACTTTTCAATGTAGAAAGTGGTGTCTCCCCACTGCCCTGTAGGGCTGGGGTGGGTGAGCTATCTGGTCTACCCATAGTAGTGCATGACTTCTTGGTCCCTCAGCATCACTGGCAGGCTCTGAAAGGAAGGTGGTGACAAGTGTGGGTTGGGAAATGACTAAATAAACCTTCAGAGTAAGGCAGCCTTATTGCTTGGCCTTACTAAATAGCCAATTCTGTTTTTTATTTTAAAATGATAGTTAATAAATACAAGGGTACTTCAAAAAATTCATGGAAAAATAGAACTAAAAGATGGTTCCACGAACTTTTTGAAGCATCCTTGTATAACTGACAAACTTTTAGATAGTTTTGTGATGATTTGGTTTTCTAGCATCATTCTGCAATAAAGAATAATTTAGAAAGCCTGTGATAGAAATAAAAATATAAAGTCAAAATCAAAAAATATCCACCAACTGATAGCAAAGAAATCTTGAAAGAAACCTGGAGCCCAGAATTTCTTCCATGTTCATGGCCTGCTCCACCAGCCACCTTTTAGAACTTATCTTTCAGTACAGAAATTGGAATTAGTATATTCAATATACAAATACAAAGAGAATTTAGGAGTACCCTTCTTTTAACATGTTCCATCTTGCTAAAGAGGTATGCCCTTTTATTTAACATACATGGTATTTAAATATTTAAAATACTATATCTTATTTTTTGTTCTATTGTTATCTTCAATTTTAAGGTTTTGGACTGGTGGGGTAGTATTTGGGAAACTGCTCCTGCAAGCCTAGCATAGTTAACTTGTTTGCAGTTACATTGGAAGGTGCTTCACAGAGATAAACACTTGATCATAGCCACGGCTTTTGATGTGATGTTAATTGACTGAGGACAGAATGGAGGACTGAAAATGGAATCTGCTTCCAGATTGGTGTCAGGCACTTATCACAAGCTGTACAGAAGAGATCTCTAATTGAAATTCATGTATCATGGGCTGGGGGGAGGGGAGGTGTTTAAAAGATAAACATTCAAACTAGAGAAGAACACATGAAAAGACAATCTCTCTCTCTCTCTCTCTCTCTCTCTCTCTCTCTCTCTCTCTCTCTCTCTCTCATGTCTGTGTGTGTATACACAGAATTTTCTCTACTTAAAAATTAAAGAAGGGCAGAATCTAAAGTAGCTGTTGTATGAATAGCTATACATATCACAAGAATTTGGAAAGATAATTTTGTGGCAATCCTTGTTATTTTGCTTTCAGAGTGAACTAGAACTGGGTTTGTATCCCTCAGTGCTAGATTAGCAGCTGTGCAGCTTTAAATGAGTCAACTTCTTTGAGCCCCAATTGCCACATCCACAGAGTGAGGGCCATACCTCACTACCTCATAGAATTATTGAGAAGTTTAAACGAGATAATAGGTGTAAAAATATTCATGCAATATTAAATAAATGGTGCTTTCCCAATTAGACAACACAACAGGTCTCCAGTAGGAAAATGCTTCTTGTTAGGGTTAACGGGGACACATAGGATGGTAGAATAAAGAAAACATAGTGAGATATGAGCAATGATGCCAATAATCAAACATATCAAACTCTGTATAGTTATAAAGAGTTTCTGTATCCTTTATCTCATTAGTTCCTCACAAGAATCCTGTGAAACAGACAAGCTGTCATACCCATTATGTAAGGGAAGAATTGTGAGTCATATAAATTAAAGGGATAGACCAATATCATTTGTAATGGACTGAATTCTTTTTGACTAATAGTCCAGTGCTCTTTACGTTACTCCAAGCTGTCTATTGATATCAGACAGCTGGCGAATATCAAACAGTTGGAAGTCTAATGGATTCCAAAATTGTATCTGAAAACCTAGCATTGTTCTCAAATTTCCCATGATTCAAGGAAAGAATAATATCTGGAAAAGAAATAAAGTGCCTCCTTTCCTGGGCAGTCTTAGACTACTCCTGAGAACCATGCTAAGTTCAATATGCATTTCTTGGGTGCTATGGACCAAAGGAGTTGTGTTTCTAATATCAAATGCACCATGTTTTGTGACTGTTTCACTTCATTTTTAGCATTTCCTGAATTAAAGTTAATTGTTTGGAAAGGGCTTCTTCCAACTACTGTGAAAAATTTGGTTTCCTTTCAAGTCCAGAGTTCAAATATTTCTGTCCTCTTAACTGCCACAAATGGTTATCTCCATCTTTGGTTGATACTTAGCACATTCTATGTTATGACATTATCTATCCTTGTATTTATACCTTCTTTCTCCCCTTTGCGAGCACATGCACCCTAAAGATGGAGAGTGTATCATACTTCTGTACTCTCAATGCCTAGCTGACAGCCTGGCACCTACTAGCATCTCAATAAATGCTTACTGCTGCTGCTGCTTTTGAGATACCGTTCAGTATTAATTTCTTGAGAAAGATTCATTAGAAAACATCAAAAGAAAGAGGGGCAGTTTTGGAATAAGCAATAATTGCTTCCCCTCCCCGTATGTTGAATAATCTCTTGAGAATTCTTTCTTAGAGGAAGACAATTGTTAGGAAGATAAAGGATGCTTAGAAAAGTGTTAGTAATTACCATGTCCACTTGAAGGCAAGAAAAGGCAAAATAGGTCCTACCTCCCTAACATAAACAGGAGTCTATTGAAAATTAGTTTGGAGGCCAGAACTGATTGAAGTCCATAGCTCTCTCTGGGGAAAAAAGCCTTTGAGATGAAGTTGAATTTTTTATTTCTAAAGAGTAGGAACAGAGTGTGTTTTGTTTGATTTCTACAAATTATAGTGATTTTTGTTTCAGCCTGAACAGAACCACAAGCAAATATTGGCAGGCAGAGTCTCTACAGGAGTGGCTAACCAAGCCAGTTTTCATTTCCTTCCAAACCCTAGTTTGGCTGATCCATCCACAGACAAGCAGAACAAAAGGCAAGGGATTACTGCACCCTAAACCATCCAAGTGGCTCATTTGGCTCAGGGGTTATTTATAGCACTCTGGCTCATACTGAGGACTTCCTGCTCTTCTCGATGAATGTGAAAAGGAAGCTCAGAACCTTAGCAGTAGGCATAGATGAAGGATGTGATCAATGATTAGATTCATCGCTGTGTCCAGCCTGCTGTTTTTGATCTAGCTATGCCTTTCAGCCATCGTGGTGAACGTTTACCTCTGAGTAGGCTCAACCTCTTCTTCATGTGCACATTCTATTCGTAGATGCTGCTATGAGGACAGATTCATCAGCAATGACTGATGTGGAGTCTGGGGTCACCAATTTTGCATCTTCAGCAAGGGCAGGCCGCCGGAATGCCCTACCAGACATCCAGAGTTCAGCTGCTACAAGTGGAACCTCCGATTTGCCCCTCAAACTGGAGGCCCTTTCTGTGAAGGAAGGTAATACAGTGGGTACAAAACTGTGCTATCTACCCTAAGCGATCCATTGTGCAGTATATGCATGTATTGAAACAACATCCTGTATCCCACAAATATGTACAAGTAAATGTTAAAATATTTTGAATAAAAATTTAAAAAAAAATTTTTTTTAATGCTCTTAAGTAAATCAGCAGTATTTCTCTCTTTTTAATCAATCCATTTCTCTGGTACAGTCTCTCTTTTAGCTATTTAGAAGAACTCTTTTTTTTTTGTTACTTGTTTATTAAAACCTCTCAGCTTTTGTTTAAGGCTACGTAGATTTGTCAGTCTTTCTAAGTAGTTTTATCTTTTAATCTCATGGCATGTATGTGGAAAGTGAAGTTTTATTTATTCATGAGTGTGTACAGTCATGCACACTCCTAGTAATTGGGAGTACAAAGATGAACAAATATGACCCTTCCCTCAATGGATTTACAAAACTTATTGAGAATCACTTAGAAATAAAATAATTTTCTGTCTGCCATCCATTGACAAACCACTCAGAAGCTTCTGCTTTGCTGTAGTATTCTGAGTCGTTCTACTTCTTATATCTAGGAAGTTTATCGTCAACTGGGGATGAGATTTTTAAAGTGAATTTTTATGTAAAAGGTGATCATTCTTTAACCAGTAGAAAAAGTCGAATTAAGAAAAACGGAGAGCAGTCAAACCAATGAAGGAAAATCTTGGGTCTTTCTCCCCATTGCTTATATACAGTTTCTATAGCTTCTAGAGTTTAGTCTTCTAAAGATAAATACAAGAATACTTTCAATAGTTAATAGTCCCTTCATTTAAAAACATTCATAGAGATTAAAGATAATTTGAAATCAAAGCCATTACCAAAACACTTGTGTCCTGTTTTAAACTCTAGGATGGACTCTAGTGTGTGTGTAGAAATTTATTCCTGGTGGCCCTGAGGCAAGAGAGAGCTAGAAGCTGCTGGAACATCTGCCTCATTGTGGGAGCAAATGAATGGGGTAGATGTACACAGGAAGAAGAAGGCTCTTGGCTTTTTGCCTCAGGAGGTTATTCACTATGTGGTAAAATTGTGAATGTTCCTGGTTTGATCTCTATGAAATACTTAAATCCTTCTTAGGCCAGGGACTGAGGTCAGATCCTGGAGTCCCATGGTTACCTCAGATTTTTCTAAAGGTCATTGCATTTCTTATAGAGAACACTACAAATAATAGTAAAAAAAAAAAGCCCACACATACATATAAAATATTATAAGAAGAAAGAAAAGATGGAAGAGATAAAGGGAAGAAAAGAAATAAAAATACGTGTATTTTTTTTCACCTTTTAAGTTTGAAAATATAATATGACTATCAGAACATAATGTTGCTGTTTAAGGGCCCATCCTAAGCTAGGGAGGTAGAGAAGATAATTACTTATTAGTATAAAAATTCTAATTAAAGTTTATATTCCTTAAACACACACACAAACCCCTTAATGTTTACTGACATTACTTAGTTAAGCAAAAGAGAACAAATACACAGCAGGAGGGTTAGTAGTCTTCTTCACTTTAGTTTGGTCACGAGAAAGATCATTATCTAAAAGAATGTTGTTCTCTTTTTTATATTTTTCTTTAAATCATTTTGAAATAAAGTGAAAAACATCAACTAAGAAATTCAGAATGCTAAAATTGAACATATAACACCAGAAGTTAAAGAATAAACAAAAGGACATAGGCTTACACAGGTAGATGGCATAACAATTCTTTATTAAAAAAACCATAAATATGTAGTTTTAAGGCCTATCTTTTTTCTCATTAGCTAAGCACAAGTAGTATTAAAGATTTTAAAATGAATATTTTCCTATTGCTAATAAAACTAAATGCTGGGGTCTGCCTTAGACATTATGATTTCAGTGTTTTAGTCATTTAAAAATAGAAATTCTGAAAAAGAGCAGCAGGTTTCCCTCATGCCTATCCTCTTGTTTTTGTTTTTACTTTTATTTTTGAAAAATATGCTTAGGTGGAAGAAAATCTAGGATCTCAAATGTCTTACATCTGGCATGAAATTAGCCTGGGATTTGTCCAGTTTATAATCTGTCTTAATGTATTACTTATAAATTGATAACCATGATAGGGAGGACAGTGATGCCTGATAACATATTAACAGCAGGTGACAGATGGTGGTGGCATCCCAGGAAGCTACAAAAATCACTTAGTGCCTTTTCTTATCTCCACCATTACTTCTTATTTGATCCATCATTTAACTAATTGTCCACTAAGTGCTGGGCACCATTCTAAAAACCAGAAATGTAGTGGTGAATAAGATAGATATAAACTCCTGCTTTCACAGATCTTATATTCTAATGAGAGAACTGGACTATAAAAAACAAATGTGTAAGTCAATAGTGATATGTGCTATCAGAGAGTTAAAATAGGGTGCTGTAGTAGAGAGTTACTGGGTGGCTACCATAGATTGGGAAATTAGGGAAGCCTTAACTGAAATCAGAATGACAACGATATGTTTTGAATAACAACTGAATAATTCAGCCACAGGGAGACCGAAGGTAAGAGCATTCTTTGCAGAAGGAGCAGCTAGCATAAAGTATTTAGGGTGGAAGAAAATGGATGTGGTTAAGAAATGGAAAAGCTGGACATCGTGGCTTGAGGGCAGTGGCTGAGAGGGAGGGTGGCTCAGGATGACGTTGGAGAGATAGCACGGGCTAGATCTTTTAGGGCTTTAGAAACCTGGGTGAAAAAATAGACTTTTATTTTAGCAGGAGGATTTTCAGCAGGGAATGACATTTCACTTATGTTTAAAATGTTCACTTCGTTTGTTATTGGAGAATGGATTGCAGGAGAGCAAGAACAGAAATGGTTGTATTGGAAGGTGAAACCCTCTTTAAGAAATCTTTTTAGGCCATATTAAACATTCAGACTCACATGAGCACATTTGGTGCCAGTCTGCTCAGTAGAATACAGATCAAGGGACTCAGCAGGCCAGCATCACATAATCTTCTATGGGAGCCCTTGCAGCAATCCATATAGCAGACCTGGGTATTAATCTCTGTGTGCCCCCCACCTGACAAGTGAGAACTCAAAAGATACAAGATCTTCTGTAATAGAGCCAAAGGGTTAGAAGCCCCTTGTCCCACATGAGCTGATACTTTGCAACAAGTCCTTGAACATGGCTCATTAGCATCCCTCAAGAGACATGCTCAGTTAGAAGAGTCATTACCTACAGCGAAGCCCAATGCTATGGTTTTCTACAAGGTATTTATAGTTTATATCTAGTTTCTCTTGGTACAGATGTATTTTACCATTTGGGTCATATTTACCATAAGCTTAGAACTAGGTTGACATTCCATTTCAATGTGGTTTCCAGGGTAACAGAGCTAGAAAATTAACCCCAAGTCAAATAGATATGTACTTAGAGAAGTAGAAAGGTTTTGTTAACCTTTACCCTAGGAGACTGCTTCAGTAGTCCAGAGAGAAATGGTGGCTTTAAATAGGTCAAGGTAGAGAAAGGTGGGCAAATCAATAGGATTTGCTGATGAATTGGATGTGGTAGAGATAAAGAGGAGAAATGAACAGTAACTCCCAAAGCAACGAGGTACATGGTGATGCAACATACTGAGAAAGGCCAACCTGAAGGAGTTAAGAGTTGGAAAAGTGAAGATTTCTGTTTTTTCCATGTTCTATTTGAGATGCCTATGAGATACCTAAATGGTCATGTCAATTAAGCAGTTGGATATATAGGCCTGGTGGACTAGAGGGAAAAACATTCAGAAATGTATATTCTTAATATTTGAATATGTATTTTCAAAATATATTTTATATGATAGAGGAGAAAACAGTGCAGATGAAATTATCCCATACTTGACAAGCCACACGAGTAGATCGTTACAAGCAGGGTAAGTGACTTACCCAAGCTCACAAAATTAGATGGTGATAGAGTCTCTGGCTCCAAGGCCTTTGTCTTTCCTAGAACATCAATTTTTCTCAATGAATATCTCATGGAAATTTTTCTGGATATTAATGTGTCACATATAAAAATGGTGCTGTGATCAAATAGGTTTGAAATTGCTGGTTCAAACATAACAGCTTTTTACATTTCTCAGAATAAGTTTCCTTTTTAAACAAGGACTTCTTGGAGCCTTTGCTACAGAGATTTTAATGTGATCTTGTGCCTACAATCTTCTAAGGTTCAGACAGACGGCATTTTATTCCCTCATTTATTTGACCATCTTTGAAAAAGCATCTTGCAGAATGATTGTCCTGTGAGGCACTCTGAAAACGTTACACAATACCTTGTGTTCTAATGAGCAGTGGAAAAAGCAATTGACACAAAAAAGAGCAGAACACAAGGATGGAAATAAAATTTTTTCAAAGCTAGGACTCCTAGAGAATAGAATCAACCAAGATAACTTAGGAACCAACATCTTCTTACTATTCCAAGATTTCTTAATAATCATGACCAAGAGAATAGATAAACAAGTGTTCAACAAAGCTTATTCACACTTGAAATGACAGGGACACATTTGAAAGGTAAGTCTGATATTGGTGGTGTACTCCCAGAGAAATTATGTTGAAGGAATATATTGAAAATACATTCAACTGTATAATTGTACTGAAAGCACTTGACAAGTGCAGAAGGCAGAACAACAATAACAGTAACTATCCTTGAAAGTGCACATTATTATATGAAAAATAACCCGTTTGACTACTGTTTTCCTTTCATTGACATCACAATACAGAGATAAGGACGATTATAACCTCTTTGAGCAGTTTGTTTCCTTTTATTTCCAATCCTATTTCAACATTTTTTCTTTTTTTCACATTTCAAAGCAAAAAAGTGGTACTGGTATAGGGGAAGTTTAAAACCACATTTTATATTTTAGCTAATAATCCTGAGCAAGATACTAGACTGTCAACAGATAACATACTGCTAGTATTTATCTAATCATTATCCTGAGTTTCTTGTTCATTTCATAGAAAAAGATCTACTTAAGGGGACTTTATAGCACTATCTCTTCATTAGACCCACTTAGAGACAGCAGAGCTGACATATCTTCTCGGAAATCTGTAATGCTTCGTGGGTAGTTTGCTTAGAACAATTGATGGCAAATGCTGCTTAAATCATTCTAGAAATAATTCAGTGCTTCATACTTCATACTTCCTGAGACTACCATTTTCTTTCTTTCTTTCTTTCTTTTTTTTTGTCTTTTTTGTGACTGGTAAGGGGATCGCAACCCTTGGCTTGGTGTCGCCCGCACCACGCTCAGCCAGTGAGCGCACCGGCCATCCCTATATAGGATCCGAACCCACCACGGGAGCGCCCACTGCACTCCCAAGCATCGCACTCTCCCGAGTGCGCCTTGGGGCTGACCCAAGAATACCATTTTCTAACAAGTCTGTTTTCCTGAAGGAGCTCTTTCAACGAAATATTATTAAGCACCTGCCAGGTTACTCAGAAGGCAACCAAGTGTGATTGCTAAGATGCAAACTCGCCCTTGATCCCAATTCCCCCATTTTACTGTTTCTGTTTCATAACAAAACTTCTTGAAAAAGTTATCTGTCTTTGTGCCTCCAAGTCCTCTTTGTCACATTCTTTCTCCAGTCTTCATAAGATTTGCACCCCACTGCTGTTTCAAAATCACAAATTATGTTGACTGTCACTTACTAGTTCTGTGACTTTGAGATTTACCTGTTTGTGTTTCAGTTATTTGTGTTCCATCTCTGTACATGGAGATTGTAATAATACCTTAAAAGACTGCCTAGCACTTAACTCTGTAAAATAGGAGAGAAAGTTGATTAGGAAAATGTAGATTTCTAAACCTACCCATGTATCTCTTTTTGTACAGTTTCCCCATCTGGATTGAGAGCAAAATAGTCAAGCAGAAAATGACTACAGTGGGTTGAAGGAAAAACTTAACAGTTTTATACAATATAATATAAAATATATTTCAATATATTCTACATATAAATGAAAAAAAATTTTTTTTTCAGATGTAAAAAAGGAAGATGAAGAAACAACGCGAGGCCAATTGGAAAAGCCCCAAAATGAAGAAAAATGATGGCTCATATAATCTATCAGTGTGCTGAATTTATGCACGTTAAAAGACTTAGTGGCTCTGTTTTTCTGAGATGTTTGATCTGGTAGTAACTATGGTAACATTGCAGCCCTAAGCAACATGTATTAGATAATTTTGTTGTGACGCTACTCAGTTGGATTGCAACCATGATGTCCAATATAGGCAATTAAAAGGCAGGTTACTTCCAAATTGCACGCATGGAAAAGGTTAAGAATGTATGATCACTTAAAAACGTATCATTGTCTATAAACCAACAAAATCCACTGTTCTCTTTTGGATTTTCTTAGCCTATTGTATTTTAGTTTCTTTCATTCTTTTTTTTTTTTTTTTGTCTTTTGTCTTTTTCCGTGTCTGGCAACGGATCGCAACCCTCAGTGTTGCCCCCGGACCGGACCGGGGACCGGCAACGGGATTGCAACCCTCGGTGTTGCTCCCGCGCCTCGCTCAGCCAGTGAGCGGGAACCGGTCTGTATGTGGGATCCGAACCCTCCGGCGGGAGCGCCGCCGTGCTTCCCAAGCAGCGCACTATCCAGTGCGCCACCGGGCTGGCCCCTTAATTTCATTTTTATAGTGATGGGCAAACCATTTCTTAGTAAATGTAAACAAAACACCATTAACTTAAAACTTTATAGAATTTGTAGGACATTATGTCTTCCGGTGAGAAGGAATAATAGAGTAGTCAAAACTAGCATGGATAGAGAGTGTTTGTTTTTAACCAAAAATGCACCAGATTTTTCCCCAAACCCTAAAAACGATTTGGAAAAGTTGTAAAAGCTTGACAACATAAACATCTCCAAGATGTTTTTGTCTAATATTTTTTGCTTCTAGTCTGTGCATACTGTGATTTTTCATGTGGATCCTTAAAATGCAAAATTTGTGATAAATTGTTTATATGAAACATGCTTATTAAATGAATTTCACTATCTTCCTTAACGTTGGTGTGTATATGTGTGTGTATATTTTACTTTGATGAATTATACAAAATACTTATTAGTTGCTTTACACTGTCTTTTCTTATTCTTAGGGCTTTTGTGTATGTATAACTTGTTTCTAAAATAATTTCCTCAGGAATGCAGACTTTAATTTTTATATCTTTCCTAAAGTAGCTAACACAGCAGTAGGCACTTAAATATTTAGTCAATGATGTAGGTGGAAATAGCAAAATACTTGCTTTTAATATATATTTAAGTATATATTTTAAATGAAACAAAAAAACCAAAGCTTTAGTAAATTTTGATTTATTAGGCTTTTTAGAAAAATAATCGTATTCTGAATTTTAAAAAAATTGAATAATGAGTTTACTTTTATTTTCGTATATATATATATGCATGCTTTTGCATTTTATTTGATTGTTGACTTAGGTCATGTCTGTATACAGTAACCAAATAAACTCTTTCACTATTAAAGAAATTTGTTACTGACACAGTCTCCTTCATTTTATCTTCTGAAGTATGCCAGGTGAAAAATGGTGACACATTTTAAAGGATTAAATTAACAATTTGCGATACGAATCACCTCCTGCTTATTATTTTATTGACAAAGCTTACCTCTATATCTTACATCAAAGGGGTAGATTTCAAAGAACATGATTATTTTAAATTCTCAAATATAAATTTTTAATAAAATAATCCAAAGTAATATTTTAGGTGTAGCCCTAATTTAATACTCAGTAAGATGTATTATAGCCATTAAAATTCTGTTTCTGAAGGTCATTTAATGGCATGAGATGATATAATCAGTATAAAGAGTGGTTACTGTAGAACAGCGTTTTTAGCTGGGGGGTGGACAGTGCATTTTGCCTCCTAGAGGGTATTTGGCAATGTCTGGAGACATTGTTGGCTGCCCACTGGAGGAGGGAGGCAGGAGAGAAAAGGTGCTATTGGCATCTAGTGGGCAGAGGTCAGGGATGCTGCTAAGCTGCTAAGCATCTCACAGTTCTACAGGGCAGTCCCCCCACCTCGCCGAAAGAATTATCCAGCCATGTGTGTCTATAGTGCTGAGGTTGAGAAACTCTGGAGTAGAGGTAAACTGGTTCTGTGATGTTGGACAATTTACATCATGTCTCCAAGTCTCAGTTTTATCTTCTGTGAAATGATATTAAGAACAGCACATACTTTATAGGGGTGGGTGGAAGTGGTAAATAAAATAGTATATGTAAAGCAATTGAATAATGCCTGGTAAAGAATAATAATTCAATAAATATTAGCAATCATCATTTTTATTCCAGATGCTCTTGCCATTTTTCATTGGTAGTGGAGGGTGGTGGACAGCTGAATTTGTTAATTTGCCTGTCTCCTGCCTTCCTCTGTGATTTCACAAACATCCCCAATTTTTGGTGCTGGGAGAAGACTCTATGGTAGAAATGGACAATTCATGGTAATTACCACATTAATGCCAATTCAATCATGTCAATGAATGGCTGACAGGTGATAGTATTACCCTTCAACAATGAGTCACCTCACTAGTGTTTTCTAACATGTTACTGTAACAAAACAGAATTTTGTCAGTACTTGAATGACCAAATTGTTTCATGAGAATATAGAAGCAAGAAAAAGTGCAATAGCTCTTGGGTCATGTATTTATCATATGGTACCTTCTCCATTTAGAAAATCAAAAATAAAGCCATTTCTCTCCTCATCATTGCTAGTAGTGATATATATTCTGAGGATGTATATCCTAAGTCACTTATTTACGACAGTGCACACACAATGTCCCATTATATACTTATTTATAAGTATTTTGTATTATTAGGCTTGTATAAGAATATTTACCAACAAACTTGTTTGTTTGTTTGTTTGTTTCTTTTTTTGCTGAGAAGGAACCCAGACAAAGGAGAATGAGAGGTCATTAGCAGTTCAAAGACAAAATTGAATTTGCCTACCAACTTTTGAAAAATCAAGCTATTTGGGGGAACTATATTTTGTCATAGCAAGCAGACACTTTGAACAAAGCTACCGAGCTGGGGCTTTTTAAAGAAAGTCTCCATGCCCATTTCTGCTATTGTATTCGTACAAGCCACTTGCTTTAGTCAATAGCTATAAAGTCTTAATTAATACTGTCAGATAACCAGGCTAAAAGGAGAAAATAGAGCTGTAAAGTGGCTGTCTGGGATCTTAACTCTGTTTAGAGGAGAAAGAACAAAAAGAATCAACTCTGTGTCATGTGCCCAGAGATACTTTTGTGATCTGGGTGGGAAAGGTTTGAACCTTCTTAGAATGTGAGTGACTATAGGGGGAAGTCTCCTACTTGAAGAAGGAAATTAGCTTCAGTTTTGCTAGCTCAGGTGATTCTGGCAGTTTGGGCAGATAGTGGGGGCAGGGGGAGAAGAGAGAGAGGAGAGAGAGAGACAAGAGGAACATGTTACCAAAGCTCAGATCTGTTGCCTTATCTGGAGAACCTGTCCCCTAAATTCCAATTACAGCTCTGCCATTCGTTATTATGACTTTGGATAGTTATTTTATTCTCTGTGCTTCAATTTCTTTAATTTGCAAAATGGCAAATTACTCTGAAGATTAGATAAATGAATACTAGTAAATAGCTAATGTTAGTGCCTGACACCCACTATATATATATACACACACATATATGAAAAGATATTGTTAGTATATTATTATTATTATTTTCCAGAGCATAAAGGGTGGTAAGGGTAGTAAAGACTTTACGGTGAATATCCTACATTCTTTTCTATGTTATCTGCCAGAATAGATTTCTTCCTCTTTGGTCTTTTTTCTTAGTTGAAACTAGGACTGATACATCAGAGTGGATACCATTTTTTTTTTTCAGAGTTATTGATGACAACTCTAAGAACATCAAAAATCTGTAGCTATCTAAAAATGAAAGCATTGGCTCCAACAAAGGGCTGGGGCAGGTATTGTCGCTACCTGTGAAAATCCTTAAAAGGATCTCTGAGCACATATCAAGAGGAATAATTATTATCACAGCTGTGCTTCAAGGGGCTGGTGATTACTAAGCATATAGTAGATCCTTTTGAAGCTTCATAAAAATAATCATACAAAGTATTGCTAATGTTTCTCATTTTACAGATGAAGAAAATGGATTCAGGGAGGGCCTTTGGGAATTCACACAAGAAAGCTGCAATGGTGACTGAGGATGGGGCTCTCAGAGACAGGAGGTACATGGCTTCTCTTGTTCTAAAAGTCCCATCTGCCCAAACCACCTTATCCATGAGTCTTATTCAATCTGAACTCCATTCAGGATTCCTAGGAAAACTGAAAAGTTGTGTAGGAAGAATGGCACACGGACCATCATGAGGCACTGATAGCACGAGCAATTTTGTTTGGCATTATTCATTCATTCACTCATTTATTCATATTTTAGCTCATTCCAGAAAAGATTTTATATGACAAGTGCACTCATCATTTAATTTACCACAAGTTTGCAGGACCCTGAGGAAATGGAAAATTGGAGAGAAGTGGGTGGCTCTCTTGGGTTGGAAAGTGGTACCTGAAAGAGAAGGAAAGGGGAGAAAGGCTGCCCTGGAAAGAAGAGAGGCACCACCCCCAAGCCAGACTCCTTATGCATTTGCCCTGGGGCTGGCCCTGATGGTGACAAGGGCACACTGACATTGTGAGGAAAAGTAAAAATAACCGGGGGTGAACTAACTATCATTGTTTCAAAAGTAGGGCCACACGGGCAAATGGAATAATCTCATTTGTCCCATGTAAATATGTTTCAGAGGTTGAATAATGTTTGGCAGTACTGGTGTCAGAAAAGCATCTGAAGTGCTAGGCAGAGGACTTGGGGAACCATTCTTCTGAGAGCAAGAAATTAAAAAAAGAAAAAAAAAAAAGTCTTGCCCCACCTTAGAGTCTATGGAACTGTCTTTGGCAGCTCTGTGAGAGCTCTCAGAGTGCCATAGACGTATCAGACATTCAAAACATTCCTGTTTTATAATAAATTTATCACCTAACTTGGATTTCCGTTAGAGGAAGGAATTTGCTTTTTAAATCTTTCCTTTCTTTGATATTATAACATTGTGAAGAACAATTAAAAAAAAAAAAAAAGCTTAAGCTATCAGCCAATAAATGTAGATTTTGTTCCAGGATTTCTGAACTAAATTTGACCTAAGTTGATTGCGTGACTTTGGGTAAATTATTTTCGCCCCAGGTAGTCATTAATTCTCATTTTCAAGAATTACTCGAAATTAACACTAGGTGGTGCTCATTCCACACCTCTAACTGATCCCCCAAGGTTGCCTGAGGTTCCCAGTTTGTTTCACCAATTCTGCTACATATGCTGGTCAGGATTATTGCAGAAACAAAACAATAACAGC